ATTATTCATGAATTTCAGCATTTGTAGTTGTCGTTTTGAATCCACAGTAACTTCTAATTATAAAAGGCATTCAAAACAAGGTTATCTCAATACAGTTAACCTCTATTTAAAAAATTAAATTCCCTGGTATAGTGAGTTGATCTCTTCATCCCAGCATTTATAGCTTAATTAAAGTATGTTGTCTATAAAAGACTAACTTTTTATATAGACCTTATTTTAGCAGTAACATTTTGTAAATTAAGCCTTGCCTTTTGAAAAAGGGGAAGTTCCACTGCATGGAAAAGAAAACAAAAAGCTTTTTTTGGACAAACATGGTGTTTAATGCCCCTGTCTATAAAATGTTGGCAATTATCCTTGTCTTGTTTTCCTAGAGCACATATTATTTTCCCATAATAATATATCACAGTCTTCCTTTACTGTAGGTGTGTCAATATTGTAGGGGCACTGTCATAAAAGACTGAAAACCTGTCGAGTAAAATACTTGAGTTTGAAATCTATAAAACTGTTAAGTACCAGTCTTCAGGGGAGATATCCCCTACAACTAACAAAATAATGAATCTTCTTTTTTCTAGTTTCAAAGGCATCCGTGATGACTTAGAGTTCCTCTTTGAAGAGGATTTATCGTCTATTAATCTCTGCGCCCTTCACTGTGAACTTAGAAATACTGAACAGCTGTTGTCATTGTTGTTTTTTTTTTTTTGTACAAAGTGGGTTCACTTGATGAATGTGATGCCGAATTGGCAAATTATGGCCCTGAGAATTTTAGCAGCAGAATAACAGTGAAGATGAAGGAGGGCCAAGAAACTGCTTTTGAAAAGCACAAAAATTGTTTCATTTTGTCATGACTTTAATTCTTTATCCACTTCAGGGTTTTACTTTTTGTAGCAGCTTCATGAGTTTCATTTGTACAATACCTTGATCCTTAATTGAAAACTTAACACTGGTTTGTAATGAAGATGTCATTAAGTTTGAATTTAAATCCCTTTTGTTTCTTTCTGTACTATTTTTCCTGAAGGTTCTACTGAATGTGAGTTTCACAAACATTTTGTCAGGAACTCCAATGACAAATTGATCATACATTTTGCTGATGAAAACTGCCCTCCTGAAACACTGGTTTGACCCAAAAATGAAATAAGAAGATGAACTAAAACGAAGACCCCATTAAAACCAAGACCCCTTTGTGAAATTTAAAGACCCCTTGGACTAAAACGAAGTTTGACTAAAACGAAGACCCCATAGACTACTGATGCTTTTGCCCCTGAAGGTTACGGCGATTTGGGAATGTTGAGTTCCTCTGCAAACATTGATAATCAAGTTATCAGGAACTTTCCTTCAGGTTTCTTTTAAAATATTTTGCATGTTTTAAACCACTTTGGAAGTGTTTACGGTGATGAAGGGTCATCTAGTGTGTTGTATGGTTATAATGCACCCTCTGTGAAGAGGATTGGCGTGACAAGCCTAAAGGATGGGAGGCCTGACACCCGGGCCTGACAATCAAAAAGGCTTATGACAGGATTTGTCTTGAAGACTTCCGCCAAACGTGTTTTGGGCGCGTAGTTAGGGTTTGGGGGAGGAGCGGGTCCATTGGCTTTCTGATATTATATGGTTGGCAATTCAATGTCGGATGATTTGGGTGTCATCCTGGGTGTAATGAGTTAAGAAAATATAACCGCATGCTCCAGCTCAGTCTAAAATGTCGAAGAATTGTATCAATGCACTTAAAAAACAAAATAGTGACAACACGTAGTATAGGGAGGAAATAACAAGGAGACATGTTTCATTGACGAATTCAAGGAGAGAGCAATGCGCTCTATTTATTACTTTTTACCTCATCAATAGAGAAAAAAAGCCTTCGATCGAGAACATTACTTGAGTAAAGGTTAACATATTTCAGTTTCATTTAAGCGAGGTTCATTTGTCTTTATGCCGGGTTTTATTTTGTTTTATTTATATCCCTGTCATACGATGTTTTTCTGTATGCCCTCTATTGTTAAAAATGACTCATCCTTACGGCTTAAACAGTCGTTTTTATGATAACTGTGATAAAAAAAAAATAAAAGAAAAAGAAGGAAAAAGACGAAAAAAAAAACGTATCTTTCACGAGACTCGAACCTGGGACTTTTATCTCAACCTCTCCAACTGTATTCAATGCAAAGTGGTTTAAAACAAGCAAAATATTTTAAAAGAAACCTGAAGGAAAGGTAAGTGATAGACTTGATTATCACAACTAAATACTGCAGAGGAAATTCCACAACAATAACAAATTACAAGAGCGGGCATTGCCCTCAGCGGTTAGCATCAGTCATTTTCATTTTATATTAGTCCAGGGGCTCTTAGTCCAAGTTTTAGTCCATGGGGTCTTCGTTTTAGTCCATGGCGTCTCGTTTTTAGTCCATGGGGTCTTAGGTATTAGGTCTTTGTTTGTGGGTCTTCATTTTGGTCACATTTTGTAATGATAGAATCAAGGTATGGCTCAGGATACTGAAAAAAAAAACATTACCATGATTTGAATGTTTCACTTAAACCAGTGCAACACACAATAATATTTTTTGTGTAGTATGTACAAACATACACTGAAAAAAATGGTTTGAACTGTTGAAAATATTTAATGAATTTTTAATTTTGTTTTAGTACTATCAGGACATGGCTATTTCAGAGACATTCACCAGAGACTTTGGTTCAGAGCAGGAGACTATTACCCTCACAGGTTCAGGTACATGTTACAGTCATTATACTGTTATTTAAAAGCTTTCCTTCCCTTTCACTGTGATAAACCAGACAGTTTGAATTAATGACTGTATTTACATCCATCGACACTGGAAGTTGTGATAGGCTAGCTAGCACTGTTAGTATTAATACAACCCCATGACGTGACCATTGTGTATCCAGGGTACATCATTATTGCATCAGATTACTACATCCCAACTGAGTGAATGTTCCTTAGCATGTAAAGCACACCCAGCAGTGGTTTGTGTTCTTGCATAATAGTCCTGACCTTAAAAAGAATACCCCTTACACTTCGTAATGTGACTACCTAACCTGTTTTCCTTAGAAACTGGAAAAGAAGTTCAAAGAAGACTGGAATTCTGGCAGGGTAAGCTACGTGAAATCGAGGAAAGATATGTGGAGCTGTCAAAGAAGTGTGTTGGTTGGTCGGTTGCTAAAGGGAAACGAGGAAAGAAAAGGCAGAAGGTGGACAATGCTGATCTTTCTCAGCTATCTGATTATGCAGCAGAAGTGTTCTACCAATTTTTTTTAAAGGTAATCAAATAATCAAGTCTTTTTTTACTTAATTGGAAGACACATTGGACAGTTTTATGAGAAGTAAGATATGGGGCAAAATCCAGACACGTTAAGTTAAAACTAGTCAAGTTGATTTTGCTTTTTTGAACTTTAATTTAACAAGTGGCAGTTACAAAACACAGGACACAAGGGAAGGTCACTGCATGCTCTTTATAAAAAAACTGTGATAGGCAGTTTCCCCTTAACTTAAAACACCTCATTTCAGATTGTAGTTTGGGCTTTTCATTATTATTCATTTTGATTTCAGGTTTACACCGACTGGAAAGACATTTCTGAAGTTATTAGAAGTACTGTCGTCGAGGAAGATTAGCAAGATTTGATTGACATCGTTGACATTAACAGGTATGTGTCAGGTATTTCACTTTTAGTAAGAGTGTAAAGGGGCAATTCCACCGTTACGGACATTATACTCAGAGAGCATTTTTTAACTTTGATCTCCTGTCCTGTTCACAATATGCAGTATAATTTGTTTCCTTCAAACGTTTCATAAATCACAGGAACTGAGCCTTAAAAGTCGTGATTAAAATTGACGGTTGTTTTAGCTGTAATGCCTTTCAGTCAAAATCAGAGGGAGCTAAAAATTTGTTCTCTGAGTATTTTTTTATTGTGCAAAAGGCAAGTCATTATGGTGCAATGTGGTTGATACAAAACAGCAATTTAATGCATATTTTTTATTGGCAAATGCTCAAAGTTGTCCTTCAGTCACATTAAATTTCTCTGAGGTCTATCTTAACTGCTTTGGTTCCCTAAAAGGTTGTGTTATGGACATTACACCAAGTGTTACGGACATTACTGTCAGTGAATTTTTTCTTGAAAATTATATTATGTGCATTATGATGCTAAAAAATTGCTTATTTCATTTATTTTTGTGTTAAGTTTACCATCAGCAATGTATAGAAGCCTTGAAAATTAAATGAAAACAAAAGCACACAATAGCTGTTTTGTAATTATAGCTGGTCAGCGCATTCCTTTTCAGAGCATGCTCTGAACATTCTTTGGAAGAAAACAACTGACCAGTAGTTTTAATCAAATTATGACATCTCATTGTACTCTGAAAGTTACATAAACAAGATGGTTGTCTTTTCTAAAAAAAATGTCAAAACAGGGGCTGAAAGGGCCAGAACTTTTAGATCAAGACTCAAAGTAGATGTTGAGAGGTATAAGGCCTATAAGAACAAAGACAAAGAAAGGAAAAGAGTGCAAAGAAAAGGTCAAGCCCTTAGTCCAAGTGAAGTTGCAAGAAGGAAGAAACTGACCCGTGAAAGAGTCAGAAAATGCAGGCAAAGACGAAAAGAGAAGAAAGCAAAAAACGCTTCCCAAGACCAAGATGTATCACAAGCTTACCAAACACCTCAAGCTCTAGGAAAGGCTCTCGGTAAGGTAAGCAGCAGAGTGCTTCCCCAAAGCCCCAGAAAACGAAAGGCTGTGGTTTTCAAACTAGCACATGCTTCAGGTTTTCTTAGGAAAAAGAGGTGCACTATAAGTAACAGGGGTCTTCCAAAAGAGACGGTAAATCTTGTTAAAGTTTTCTTTCAGCTTGACTCCATCTCTCGCCAAGCAGTAGGCAGAAAAAACTTTGTCACTGTTCGGGAAAACAACACAAAACATCATATCCAGAAAAGGCACTTGTTGTGGTCCCTAAGAAAACCCCACCACTGAGATTGGCTTTAATAAGTTTTGCTCCTTAAGGCCAGTGAATGTCTTGCTTTCTGCTGACATGCCTAGAGATGTTTGTCAAAATGCTTTGTGAGAGCCTGCATAAAGAAATAGATGATTTTCCACTGTACTCAGGACGTTTTGCAGAAAATTTTGTTTGCAACCCTGAGTCAGAACTTTGCATGCTTGGCAAATGTAAAAAGTGTGCAAAATGCCCCAGCTTGTTGCAAAAAATAAGGTCAAGTGCAGGAAACCTTGATGAGCATGCAACATGGTATCAGTGGGAGCATGTGGAACAAATGGTGCAGGCAAAGAAAGGAAAAAGAATGAAAAGGGTAAACAAAATTCAGAAAGTTCTGAAAGAGGGTACTGTTGATGATTTACTGGAAGATCTAGAAGTTCAGCTGCCATCATTCTTAGAACATGTTTTTGTAAAGTGACAACAGTGTTGCGGAATCTTCCACTGCGTTTGGAATATCTCCGCGTCCGCTGGTTCAACAAACAATCAGGACTGTATCTTTCACTTTTTTCGCTTTATTTCGTTCGTTCATTCGTACATCAAAATCGTTCTAAACGTTCTACTCAAAATTACAATGCTTACTAGTTTTATGGTTACCACAAGTAAACGCCTTGACTACGTATGTCCGGCCGCAAACCGAACTTGGCAAAGGCTCACTATTATTTCTTGCGATCTAACACATGAGCGTGATACCTATTTCCTTAACATATCCCACATTATCCACCTTAATTATTATTTACCGCGCATAAACCGATTACAATCAAAACCACTAAGGTTGATAAAAACAAACCGAGTCAATTCTATTATTCGTCATAGGATGTGGTTACACGCCTAAGATAATTTTCTACTTGCAAGGCAAAATCAACTGTTCAACAATTACGAAAAATAATACTAATAACTTGTTATAACAAACAGGCAAGAATTTTTAAAGAGAAGATAGAACATCTGACAGAGGAAGAGGCAGTGGTGCAAGTTGATTTTGCTGAAAATTTCAGCTGCAAGTACCAGGGGGAAGTTCAGTCAGCACACTGGAGCCAAGACCAAGTTACCCTGTTCACTGTTGTAATCTGGACAAAGTCTGGAGACAAAAACAGCTGTTGTGAATCTCACGTCATTGTTTCAGATGATTTGAAGCATGACAAAAACATCTGTTGCCGTGTTCAACGACCTTGTGAAGGGGAGACACCCAAACATAACTCGAGTTTGGATATTTTCAGATGGACCAAGCTCGCAGTTCAAGAACAGGTACATTGCCCATGTTCTCCATTTACTTCAAGGTCAAGGTCTTAACATCCAGTGGAACTAATTTGCCACATCACACGGGAAAGGGGCTGTTGATGGTATCGGGGGAACTGTGAAGCGCATGGTTTGGAATGCTGTATCCACAAGAAAGGTGGAAGCAGTCAAAGATGCTTGCTCTTTTGCAAGTGTTGCAAATAAGTTGAGCACATCTGTTGCGGTGACCTTTGTTGGATCTAAAGAATTAGAAGCTACTGCAGACTTACTTGGATTAAAGAAATTCTTCTCTGTTGCACCAGTAATCCCAGGTATTGCCAAATTTCACAGCTTAGAACCACTCAGGAATGGCCTTATTCATTGCCGTACATATTCTTACCAGAGTACCTGGATTGAAATGGGTGTCCAGTTTTCTGGTTCAGAAAATGAAGATCTGGATCAAAATGATAGTGATGATCAAGACTCTTCCTCTCTAAGAAAGGGAAGCAACAGTACCAGCAGTGCTGATGAAGACGAGACCAGTGGAGAGAAAGGAGACTTTTTCAGCAATGCTTCACGAAACAGCCATCACACGTACAAAGAAGTTTCAAGTGAGAGCAGTAAGGAAGACAGTAAAAGTCATGATGAAGAGGTTGACTCGAGTGAAGAAGAAGGTGTGACTGGACACAAAGGTTCAGGTGGTCCAGATGCGAAAAAAAAGCAATGCAAATAAAAGTTCGAGGAAGAGATGTCAGAGAAGAAAGATATCCAAGTTCAGCAGGGCCTTCCTGACAAGCTACTGTCACCGATATATTCAAAGGATGTGCTTTGTTCAGCCTTCCACATCATTTAGACTGCCAAGTAAATGCAGTTTCTGATGGCTGGATCAGCTTTGAAGGAGGTGGTATGATTCAAAATGATGATCTTAATGGTTTACTTGGCAGGGGGAAGAAAAGCCAAGATAAATGGTTGTCCAACTTTATTATTGATGAATACCTGGGGCTTATATAATTCAAGTGACTTGTGCAGCTAACAACAGTTTGGCAGTTGAAACCTTGCCATGGGAGTTGTTTGAGAGAGCAGTTGGTTCACTACCGCTTGTTGAAAGGGAGAAATCCACTTCTGCTTCAGGATGTAGTCCTTGTGCCATGCAATAGCCCAGAGTCTGAGCACTTGACTCTTCTAGCACTTCTGCCAAAGGAGAAATCTGTTGTTGTCTTAGACAGTATGCCAAGTAACCACATTAAACATACAAGTCTTGATGCTATTTCTAAGATGTGTGGCCTTCTCAAAGAGATCAAGAGCAATGTAGACCTGAATCAGCTGTGGAAGCTTATAGTGAACAAAAAGGGAGATGTTCCTGAACAGACCAATGCCTATGACTGTGGAGTGTTCACTTGCTTGTATGCAAGATGCTTGCAGGGTTGGTTTTGGTGAGATAATCAGTGATGCCAGCATCTCAGTTTTCAGGAAACTCATGCTGTTGGAATTGCATCAAAGAAAGCTACACCCAATCCCACCAGAAGGCATCCTACCAGCTGGGAAGTATTATGCTGTTGATTATGTGGAAACTTACTACATTGGACATGCACTCAGTCAAGCTGATAGCTTTGTAAGATTCAAGTTCCTCCATCGAGTGGGTGTAAAGAGTTTTGACTGGCCCAGCCGGGATGACGTGGATGATGTTCACATCTCTTGTGTGTTTTATGGCCCCGTCACCCTAGACAGTGCTGGCCCATTTGCTGTTCCAAAACAGCAAAACATTGAAAAAAAGGTTTAAAGAAATTAAAAAGCAAAGAAAGTCTCATTAAGATGCTACACGGCTGATCAGTTTTTAGGTGAATAAAACAATTTTGGTCTTTTAAGAAGAACACATTTTCTTACTCAGCACTGTTTGAATTTCTTGTTATGCAAATCTGAAACTTTTGTTCAGCTTTAGCATTATTTCACTTATTGTGGATAAATTATAGAGCTCAGTTAGTACCCTAACTGTCACTTGGTTCAATACCTTTGGATATTTGTATAAAGACACTTAAGAATACTTATATTTCATTTTTGCCTTAGAGACTTGTATTGTTATGGACATTACGTTACAGTGACATTACCTATCTTTGAAATAGTTTCTATGATTAAAAAGCCTACTAGAAATAAAAAGCTTATCAGACAAATGATGTTACTAACAAATCCAAGGAGTAGGACAAGTTATTTTCAATTGATTAAAGAGTGAAATCCTGTCTGACACAAAGATAGAAGTGAAATTTTGTTACGGACATTACTCATCTACTTAGATATTTTCTCCTAACCAAAAATGGGGAAAAATTATTGAAAACCATCAAATTTTTTTCTTGGGTGAAAAAAAGGCTTATGCTCTATACCTCAGTTTCAGTGGACTGCATTGATTTTGATATTTTCACAAAATTAATTGTTCCTTAATTTGCACCTGTGGGTCCCATGTTTTCCTTGTTTATATGACCTATTGAGTAGTAGACCCCCTGCGGAGTGCAGAAGGGCGAAAACAGAAATGACGTGTATGTTTTTAATACAGTGATGTGTCTTCTCTTTAATGGCACAGAAATTAATTCCAATATCCTTCTTTTAAAAATGATTGATTTTTCACCTCTCATGTGGAATTGCCCAAAGTACCATTTGGAAATGAAGTCCTCTTAATGGAAAATGCATACCGTCTAAAACTATTACAATAATAAATTTAGACAAGAAGGTTAAATACAGCTGTAGTGGATTTTCTTGTAAATCTTTTACCAGAGACTGCGCAACAATTAAAAGCCATTGCATGACGAGAAATTCAAAAATAATTTCCAGTCACTTTAACTGACATTCAAAAACAAAAAAGAAAGAAAGAAAGAAATGCTTAAGGAGTGTCTATCTGACAAAGGTACGGCAAACCTTTACATCCAATTTTTTAGATTAAAAAAAAAACAGATCTAAATATTAGTACAAGATCTATATCAGAGATTTTGACGCTGTTCAAAAAATTTGCAGTCATGTATAATCAGAACCTGGAAATACACTCAGGCTGGTCTTTTACACAATACTTCAAGTTTGATTGTAGAATGAGGCACATACATTATTATTTAAAAAGTAAAATCATGTTTATCTCTCCTAAAATTTTTAAGATATTCACAAAGTACAGGTCACATTCCCCAGGTAATAGGTACATGTCACTGCTCCATAGATGAATTGCCAAACCACACAGATTCCCCTCTATCTAATGGAACATTTTGTTAAGAGTTTAGGGCTTGCAAACACTTTTAATACTATTCATTTGTCTGTATCATGGTGAACTGTACTCTGACAGTGTGGAAAAGTTACCTGTATTTTAGACCCTCCTTAACAAAATTTCTACCCTGTAACAGCTCTGTAGCATCACTGGAACAGGGTTGTAAAACTAACCTGTGACAACCCTGTTACAGCTCGTCATTTGGCACAGTTAGCAAGGCTGTTTCTACTCTGTAGCAGCCTTGGAATAGCCCTGTCACATTTAACTCAAAATTTCTTAGTAGACACCCTGTAACAGCCATGTTACAACCCTGTTTCCACCCTGTAATGGACATCCCTGCCACAGCTCGTGAATTGGCACAGTTAGCAAGACTGTTTTTACACTGTGGCATTCCTTTAACAGCCTTGGTACAGGTTTCATGCATTACAACCCTGTTACAACTTGTTAATTGGCAGTTAACAAGGCTGTTTTTTTACCAGGTGCCAATGTTGTGATACTCCCTCTCACACAGTATACACTTTAGACAGCAACCGTTTAACTTCTATACATTAGAATTATAGTACTATCAGAACATAATTTTTTATAACTTCACATCTATTAAAGATGAAACTTAATCTTTTTTAGGCATATTTGAACTCATGAAAATTCCTGAAGCAAAGGAACGATTTGCGCCACAAAAAGCTTCAAAGTTGAACCACCAACGGCTGGTTTAGTCCGTTTAGTCACTTAAATAACAAAACTCACGAAAAGCAATGCATTTCAACAAACATACATTGAAAGGACACTTTCGATAAAGGAAAACAGTAAATACAGTCAATTAAGAACTTAACGTTACTTTATTTTTCACGTGCCGACGTTACAGTGTGTAAAAATATAAACAGAACAAAATTTAAACTGCATGCAACAGTCTGATCTGGCTTGTAAACACTTGCTTGCTTTGCTCGATTTAATGCACAACTAGCACGTCAAAATGCCGACTTTACAATAACTGTCCCAAAAAACAAAAAAAAAACGATTTTTGTCCGCAATTATAAGAGATGAAACACGGAATTGTTCCATTGTAACAACGGTTCCGAGGTTGACAGTTTATAGTTGTTTTGTTCGTTCTAACGAGCTTAATTTGAAATCGCTCACCTCGATCGTCTTTCCTTCATGATCCACAATGTGTTACATTTCCTCATGAAAAGAGCCAATCCATTTGTGTTTCAGTTGTTGCTGAATTGTTTAATGGTGTACGAAATAAACTCGCATTATTACTAGGCAGGGCAAACAATCTTTGAATCTTGCAAGTGCCGCGGAATGTTTTCTGTCCACTATATCGATCTGTTTCCCATTCGTTGAGAGCTGGTCAAAGCACAGTTATTTTTTTGCTAATACTTTTTCACTCTCTGCTTCAAAAGCAGCAAAAAAAGGCTCTACATCCTTTCTAAATCTAAACTGGATGCAGAAAGCGTTTGAATATTTTCGCTTTTCATTCAAATGATCGTGAGTCCTTTCAGGAATGGAGATGTGTAATGCGATCTTCCGGTAAAAGTGCTGACCAATAAGATTAAAGTCTTGGATTTCTCCAGGGAATTACCAATGGCGTGTCTGTCACGGAATGAAAATATTGAAGTCCCCTTGCAGAGGTCTCTCACGCAGGAAAACAAATTGAAGTGATCTGAAAGTCTTTCATTTTTTGTACATTGTTGTAAAAAATTAATCAAGTTACAGCGGTTTTTTTTTTCATTTAAAAGAACAGGAGCTGATGTAATAGGTGTTTGTAAAAATGGTAAGCTGATCATAAGAAGGTCTTCGTTTTTAACATGAGATAAAAGTCTTATAAAGAAACCAACCT